AGGAAGAGTACGAGGAGAAACATTTTTTAATAGGATCACATTTACCTCATGTATATGGTTTCATGTTAGAAATGTTTTCCAAATCTGAGTTGTGGCAGAAATGGCACAAAACGATAGAGCTGGCTGCAGCTTTCTGATGAACGAAACATATCATAAGAAAACTATGTCCTCTCTACAGTGCCTTGGAAAAATATTCATATTTTCCATATTTTGGGCCAGTTTCCCAGCCCTAGTTTAGGCCTAAACTACAGCCATTTAGGCTTCAAGTGACTTTTTTTTAAATCTCAGCAATTGATTTATGCAGAAAACTGGAAAAATCAGTTGGGGGTTCCCCTTTAACAGGCAGTGGGCTGTTTGTTTTGTGTGCATTATGAGTAAGAGGTGACACCAAAACAGGTGCCACTTTGGGTGTCAGTCTCATCTAAACTTATCTCTCTCTCTCCACAGATAAGCGCTGTGGTAGATCTATGGGATAAAGTTAAAATAAACGGAACAAGCACCAACTAGTCTGATATTGTGACACCAAGTTAGCTGGCTAGCTTTAGCTGTCTTATGACATGAGCTTGTATCTCTAATGCTGCTATTTCATGATACTAGAAGCCACAAGGTAGCTCGATGCTAAGCTATTTTCATACAAACTAACAGATCTGTATTTAGATTTAGCCAAAAAAAGAACAGGACAGCTGGATTCTGCCGGCTTTTACTTCAGTTATATAGAAAACTAACCAATAAGCCACAAACGGCAACACTAGCCAGGCGATAAAACAGCAAAACAAATAAAAATAATAAACAACTTGCTAACTAGCTAGGTTAGCTAACTCCAAGTTGGCTACGAGGCTGAAGTTGGTTTCCTATTCGCCAGCGTCTTGCTCGAACTTTGCCGTTCCACCTTAAATGGTGCATCAGTTACGCTCCGGCGCCCGCGCCGCCTGAATGTAACTGCTGCACCATTTAAGGTGGAACGGGAAAGTTCGAGCAAGACGCTGGCGAATAAGACGCTGACTTCGGCTTCGTAAGCTGCTGAAAAGGCAAAGCCAACTACTCATTGCGAACCGCTCTTATGAGTCAGTTCAGTCAGTAAACCAGTCAGAATGCGAAAATGCTGAGCTTCTTAGTAAAGTTAGCAGCTCACCTGTGCAGCCCCACTCTGCAAACTTCGTCCACGAAACTTGGCTAGTAGGCAAGCCAGCACTAAGTTAAGCCAGCTTTCTTCACCAAGGTCTCCTTTTCTTCACTAATAAAACCAGCATGAAAAGGAGCCCGGACGCCGCGGCGAGTTTCTAAAGTGTTTAAGGTCAAGGGAAATCCCAGAGTTGCCTTTTTCGTGCACTAACAGCAAAACTACAGACTTCTCAGTCTTTGTGATTCTTCGGCGGTGTCCCAAACAACAGCACACTTTCTACCCTCGCTCCCTTCGACCTGCCTACTGTAACGGACTGATACACTGGGGCTTCCGGGGAAACACCCGACAAGTTTAAAGACTCTCTCGAAATCTGTACTAAAGGCTCTTATGGTCGCTATTTAATTACTGCTTAAGCATTATAACATTTGTTTTTTGATGACTGTCCAATATTTTAATTTTAAACTTTGAATAATAATGATAATATATACATATAATATTATATATTATTAATATTATTATATATTTCAATAATTCCTTTGAAATGTGATCAATTCTGAGTAACAGTGTTATTGCAACAATGCCCAGTACTGTACAGCTTTTCAGTCATTGTAGCATCTTCTGCACTCTTAAAAATTTGGTTCTTCAAGGGTTCTTTAGTAAAAGGAATAGTTCTATTTAGAACCATGAGTTCTATATAGAACAGTTTGCATGATTCTTTGAGTTTTCTTGGTTCCGTATAGAACCATTTTCTTTACTAAAGAACCCTTGAAGAAGCATCTTTTTTAAGAGGGTGTACAGCACCAAAAAGGGTTTTTTCTGTTTTTACAGGCTTCACATCGCAGCAATAGCAGAACCCTTTTTGGTGCTATATAGAGTATAGCACCATCTAGAGCACATTCTCTATCATTCTGAAGAACCCTTTCATGAGGCAATGAACCATTTAATCAGGCAAATGGTTCTTTGAGTATTCATAATTCAATATAGAACCATTTTCTTTACTAAAGAACCTTTGAAGAACCATCTTTTTGTGTATGATTACTTGTACTCAAGTACATCTGTGAGGAAAGACATCTGTACTAAAGGCCAAATCACCAAAAAAACTCTCTTATGTTCTCTACCTAATTACTGTTTAAGCATTATAACATTTATTTTTTGATGACTGTCCAATATTTCAATATTAAATTTTGAATACTGATGATAATATATACACACAACATTATATATTATTAATATTATTATATATTTCAATAATTCATTTGAAATGAGATCAATTCTGAGTAATAATGTTATTGCAACAATGCCCAGTACTGTACAGCTTTTTGTAGTCATTGTAGCATTGTCTGTACTCTTAAAAAATGTGGTTCTTCAAGGGTTCTTTAGTAAAAGGAATAGTTCTTTGTAGAACCATGAGTTCTATATAGAGCAGTTTGCATGATTAAATGGTTCCTTGCATGGTGTAATGGTTCTTCAGATTGATGGAGAATGTGTTGTATATGGTTCTATATAGAACCTTTTTGAAAATGGTTCTACGCACTCAAAAAAGGTGGTTCTTCAAGGGTTCTTTAGTAAAGAAAATGGTTCTATAAAGAATGATGAACACACAAAGAACCCTTTACATGATTGAAGGGTTCTTTGAATCATGAAAGCATTCTTCAGATTGATGGAGAATGTGGTGTTTATGGTTCTAAACAGGACCTTTTTGAAAATGTTCTATATAACACCAAAAAGGGTTCTGCTATTGTATACAAGATTGACATCATAACCATAGAAGAACCCTTTTTAGTGCTATATAGAGCCATTTTCAAAAATATACAACACATTCTCCATCAATCTGAACCATCTCACCATGCAAAGAACCATTTAAGCATGAAATGGCTCTATGTAGAACTCATGCTTCTAAACAGACCCATTCTGTTTACTAAAGAACCCTTGAAGAACCATCTTTTTTAAGAGTGCACGGGTTAGTTCATCATTCTGGACACTTCTATCATTTCTCATTTTTTTATTTACAGTTTTCTTGTGTCCAACTAAATATTTGAAAGCTGTGCTGGTCTCGCATATTAGAATCATTTTATACCATAACTTAGTTTTATATTCATGAAAACCTATTTAGTTTTATCATTTTATTTATTTATTTATCATTTTCATATGATACACACTTAAAAAAGATGGTTCTTTAAGGGTTCTCTAGTAAAGAAAATATATAGAATCATGAACACTCAAAGAACCCTTTGCATGATTAAAGGGCTCTTTGCATGGTGAAAGGGCTCTTCAGACTGATGGAGAATTTGCTGTAGATGGTTCTATATAGAACCTTTTTCAAAATGGTTCGATGTCAAGCTTGTAACAATAGAAGAACCCTTTTGTGTGCTATATAGAACCGTCTATAGCACATTCTTGCATATTTTCCATCAATCTGAAGAACACTTTCATGATGCAAAGAACGCTTTAATCAAGCAAAGGGTTCTTCAAGTCTTCATGGTTCCATATAGAACCATTTTCTTTACTAAAGAACCCTTGAAAATCATCTTTGTTAAGATGGTGTACAGCACCAAAAAAGAACCCTTTTTGGTGCTATATAGAGTATAGCACCATCTATAGCATATTCTCTATAAATCTGAAGAACCCTTTCATGAGGCAAAGAACCATTTAATCAGGCAAAGGGTTCTTTAAGTGTTCATAATTCAATATAGAACCATTTTCTTTACTAAAGAACCTTTGAAGCGCCACCTTTTTTAAGAGTGTCACTCAGTCACTCTGTAGTCATTAACATCTAGTTATTAATTCCTTTTTTGTGTTTGCTGTCGTTGTATAAAGTTGGCGACAGTGTCTGTAGTGCTTTGTGATGGTCACACATCAGGCTTTTGAGGTTTTATTATTTTTAAAAAAAGAGAAGAACAGCATCTGTCCTCAATTTGAAGTTTCAGTTTCACTGTGGTTCCGTAAGTTACTCAGTACTTAAGTAGACGTTTGAGCTGCTACTTCTGTACTTCTGCTCAGGTTGTTTTTAGAAAGGTACCTTTACCTTCACCTGAATAACGATTTCACCACATTACCAGTTCTTTTACTTCAGTGTGGTTTAAGCTACTCAGGCTACTCTTCATTAGTTTGCTCAAATTATTGTTACCAAGAACAGTGAAATGGTGAGTTTATGCGATTTTACTTATTTATTTTTGTACTGCACTTTATATTTTATGGCTGTTTTTAGTATATTTTATTATAAATCTTCACTTCTTCTATTTATTTATCTGTATAATAGCGTACAGTAATACTTTTGCTCTTGTTTGCTCTTTACTGTACTTTGTGCTACTGTAATAGACGACTTTCCCTCTGGGATTAATAAAGTGATCTATCTATCTATCTATCTATCTCTCTCTCTCTCTCTCTATATATATATATCCATTCACTCATCTGTCTATTCATTCACTCATCTGTCCATCTGTCTATTCATTTACTCATCTGTCCATCTATCTGTCTATTCATTCACTCATCTACTTATCTACCTGTCTATACATTCACTCTATCTATCTATCTATCTATCTATCTATCTATCTATCTATCCACTCATCTGTCCATCTGTCTATTCATTCACTCTTCTACTTATCTACTTGTCTATACATTCACTCTATCTATCTATCTATCTATCTATCTATCTATCTATCTATCATAATCTGTGAGGTGTTTCCATTATCTTATCTGCCTACTGTATGTTTCTTTTCATTCATTCATTCATTCATTCATTCATTCATACTGAAGTTTACAGAGACCCAATGATGCTCACTTAGAAACACAATGAGGGGCTTCATGTGACTGTCTACAAATACAGAACTTTACAGGAGAAGAAAAACATTATTAACGTTTAATGTAAGTTAATTCATTTTAGACCATTTTTATTCTTTATTCTTCTGTTCATCATGGAATGTTGACAGTGTAAACAGCAGCTGACAAATTTGTAATATTATTAAAAAAAAAAAAACGGTACAACTTGCACACCTTTAGCTCTAATATACACAACATTAGGATACAGTCGTATGCAAACATCTGAACAATCTCAGGCAAATTCCATGTTTTGTTGATTTTCTAAGTGAAAATATATTAACGCGTCATCTACAGAGAACACACTTAAACATGGCATTTTTCTCCACATTTTTGTGCACAATTTCTATTTATTTAAATAGTTTAACATATTAGACAAAATAAAACACATCTAAAATGTACCATAATTTTAATGTTGTGGCTTTTTATGTTAAATTCAAATAAACAGTAATTGTGCCTAAAAATGTGCAGAACTGTGTTCTCTGTAGAGGACGTTCACTTATATTCACTTAGAACGTCAACAAAACATCACTTGACCAGGGGTGCCCAAACTTTTGCAAATGACAGTGTGTTTGGGCTATGAGGCAAATATAACAGAAGTAAGCAGACAAATACACTTCTATTACTAATTGGCTACATTAGCCCTGTAGCTCAGTGCAAAATTAAAGAACCTTCAGACACCAAACACTGTCTTAGCAAATGGACTATGTCTAAATTAACAGGAGTCCTTCAGAACCTCTATTCTCCACAGGTTCTCAGCTGTTCGTTGGAATTCCTGCACTCAGAATATTTTCCTGCCTCTTTCTTGCTTCTCAGAATTTCAAAAGATGCCATGCTTCCAGATCGTTCTGAAGAGAAGAGCGAAACACAGCAGGGTTGCCAGTATTGTTCCCGCACACACCGGGCCAGTCAGAGAGAAATCCCCCACTGGAAGCTCCAGAGTCACTGAGTCAGGTACCTACACAATAAAAGCACTTCAGTTATTCCTGTAAATAAGGTGGGGTTTTAGAGCAGCATCCAAAGTAAAATAGACATACAACCATATAAATAAGACGCTAAATAAAAAACAAATATACACACTTATACCATCCACTGACAGGTTCTTTAGAGAAAAGTGCTTTTCTATGGCAGTGGTCACCAACCCTGAGATCTGCCTGCTTACAGTCCACACACTTAAAAATGAAGGTTCTTCAAGGGTCCTTCAGTAACGAAAATGGTCCTACATAGAACCTTAAACACTCAAAGAACGATCTGCATGATTAAGGGTTTTTTGTATTGTGAAAGTGAGAGTGTGCTGTAGATGGTTCTATATGTATGTTTACCTTTTTGAAAAGGGTTCTACATAGCACCAAAAAGAGCTCACCTATTGTAACAAGCTTGACATCGTAACAATAGAAGAACCCTTTTTGTTGCTATATAGAACTCTTTTCCAAAAGGTTCTATATAGAACCATCTACAGCACACTCTCCATCAATCTGAAGAACCATTTCAGGATGTAAAGAACCCTTTTGATCATGGAAAGGGGTTTTCAGAATGTTCATGGTTCTATACAGAACCATATAGAACCTATATATTTTCTCTACTAAAGAACCCTTGAAGAACCATCATTTTTAAGTGTACACAAACGCTCAGATTAGCAAGGGGACAAATGCACCACTTATACTGATCTGAAATTTGTGTCTAAAAATACTATTAAGCGTCTGTTAGATGTAAATCTGCAAGTTTGCTATTACCTGCAGTCCTTGGATCTCCAACCATGAGCACACACTCTGGTTCTGGACTGTGCAGGGGGCCTCAACCACTCTGTGAGGTAGACCGGATGGTAGCGTTTCACCTGCATCGGAGAGCAGAAACATTAATGTGTGCATTTAAAATGCAGACACTGAGAATTTCTATGCGATTTGAATGATTATCATGTTGTTAGTCAGCGTGACTTCATTTTAAAATGACTTCCAGTGATTTTCTACATTTCAGCATAACTCATTGTTGAGATGTCATCCAGAGTGGTTTGATGCTAAATGAGAAACCTGGCAACTTTCTTTACAGTGGTGGTGATGGGAACCAGGGGTCATAATGTCTACAAGGTCATTTTATGTACTATGCAAAATGACCAGTGAACCTACACGTGTCTTCTGAGTTTTATCGCACGGAGCCCCTTAAGGGGTGTTAGGTGAAAGGGACAAAAATCTGGTGCGCACCAGATACTATCAGGTGAGCAACCAATATTATCAAGTGAGCACCATATACTATGTGGTGAGCACCCGATACTATCAGATAAGCACCCAATACTATCAAGTGAGCACCAGATACTATGTGATGAGCACCAGATACTATCAGGTAAGCACCCAATATTATCTGGTATTATACTATGTGGTGAGCACCCAATAGTATCAAATGAGCACCAGGTACTATGTGATGAGCACCCAATACTATCAAGTGAGCACCAAATAGAATACACCATGTCCCTTTGAGGGCTTCGTAGAGTTTTTGTATGTAATGCTGACAATGGTACAATAATTACGCTCTCTTTAGGTACCGTTTGCCCTGCATGTACCTCTCCACCATGAATGGATTTTAAAAGTGTATTTTAGGCCAAAACTTTCTCAGAACTATCGTAAAGCAATCAGGCAGCATATTCATAACCATTTCATGTAGTAGCTTTCTGTGAGGGAGCTTTTAGAGGCATTAGACTCACGTCTGGTTCCTATCACCACCACTGTGAACAACAGTTTCTCATTTCATATCAAATCACTCTGACTGATTATACCCAAACTCCCCTTTAAAGCCTTATATACCCACAGCTTTCAGGACGAAGCAGCAGCCTTGGCCCCTCGATGTACACTCGTTCCCATCCACCTGAACTGGACGGCCTGTGGTACCGGCCATGGACAGGAACAGCTGCCTGTAGAAGCCCAGGAAGTCCATCTGCTGGGCTGAGATAGACCAGTGCAGAGAAACCAGAGGACATATAGGCTGGGTCTTCAAGACTAACAGCTGAATCCAGAAGTACCTGTCACAAACATACATGTCTTTTTAATAGGCATGTCAATTTAAATAATAATTTTTAATAAACAGAATCTGGGAGAGGACTGTTATGGTCTGTAGGGATATATTCATCACTAACTTAAAGGAGTAGTTCACAAAAAAAAAAAAAAATTTTCACAATTTTCCACATCACCCCAAATGTAGCTGATCCAGGACACGTTTGGCATCCAAGTTTGCTTCTTTAGTTTTGTACAGGAGCCATGAGGCTAATGTAGCTAATAATTATTGGACGTCTATACCACCCAAAATATTTGGGGGTGACAGACTTGTCTTATTTTAGTCTTGTAACTTTAACTAAAGAAGCAAACTTAGACTGCTAACGTATCTTGGATGATCAGCTACATTTGAGGTCAGGCAAGCAGGAAAATTATGCAATTTCTTTAGTGAATGACTGAAATAATTTAAATGGAATTCATTACCAAGTATAGAGTGACTGTGTTAAATTTATTATTAAAACAATAATAAAAAAAGATCATTAGATTATGTCACCTGTAATCCAGTGTCCTCCCTCAAAGATGCAAGCTGATACTGATCCATGTAAACTCCGCTGGGCAATCTCTGAATCACTAGAGCCTTTATAACATGAGGCGTAGGATCATGCTGAACTTCATACAAGAGCTCTCTGAAGGACACATAACAGGTTTCACTTATACATTTGAAATATCCAAGCATGTTTCACACTGTTAAATACTTACAAATGCCACTTGTGTATCTTAACAGTAGTTATTCCATGAGATCAGTGCAAATGGATATGCTAATCTGAAATATTTGTTAAAATTTTCCCAAGAAAAACAGTTTATTGTCCATTATAGTTTTGATTATATATTTTACATATTCTTGCTAATAAAAAAAAATAAAAAAAAATGATTTGCCCATCTCAGTAATCACATTTATTTTTTGTGCCAAATAACACTGAGAAGTACAACTACATTATACTGAACTTGTGTCAGAGCAGTAAATGCCAAAGTAAATTACATGACTTTTCTGTAAATATTGGAAAAAAAATATTTTGAAGAACAAAATCATAATCAACTGGTTTCTCTTTCTTTCTGCTATGGGTTGGACAGTCTTAAGGACCTAAGTAGAGGTGGGCAATATGAAGATATTTTATCTTTATCGTGATAAATTTTGTTATGGTGATCAACAAAATACTTCTCTCAGCATATCATAGATATTGTCAGTACTTAAAGAACTCTAACCAGCTGCATTAAAAAAGCATAAACAGTCCTGTTTAACTGGATTTAGTTCAGTGCAGTACATGAAATACTGAATAAAAATTACTGTACCCAGAGTTTTTGATGACTACGGACGTCCAGAGAGGCCATTCGGTAGCTATAATTTTCTGGATTGGTATTTTGAGATAACAAGTTGAGTATCTTGTTATCTCAAGATAACAAATCTGTTATCCTGAAATAACAAGTTACTTATCTTGTTATCTTGAGAAAACAAAAGTTGTTATCTTAAGATAATGAGTTAATTATCTTGTGATCTCAAGATAAAGTTGTTATCTTGAGATAACGAGTTATTTGTCTTGTTATTTCAAGATAGCAAAATTGTTATCTTGAAATAACGAGTTCCTTATCTTGTTATCTCGAGATAACAATCCAGAAAATTATAGCAACAGCTCACAGCCTCTCCGGACTTCCATAAATGACAGTGATTAAATGCAGCTTTACTGGTACATTAAAATGCTGTGATATGATCCACTCACATCAGCGCAACAAACACTAACACACCAGCACCAGGTGGTCCTGCGGGGGTCCTGACCATTCGGTAAAAGTGGGCTAACAAAGTATGCATAGAAACAGATGGACTACAGTCTGTAACTGTAGAACTACAAAGTGCACCTATATAGTAAGTTGAGCTGATGAGTGTAGAAACAAGTATGTGGTTTTAATGTTACGGCTTATTTTTGTATTTATGTATTTGTGTGTATATATATATATATATATATATATATATATATATATATATATATATATATATATATATAAAGACTTGTCTCGTATACAGCACCTTCTCATGGAATGACTCACAGGTGTGACACTTTCCTGTCCACCTGTGTCTTCACTGTTTAGATTTCTACACGTTGCCTGTTTATGGCTACCGTGAGGCAGATTGTCACCTGTGGAATCCTCGTTTGGCAATGTTCACTGACATGTCCACTGATTCAAACCATGCAGATGCAGGACCACAAATGACCTCATCTGAAAGAAACACAGAGCAGAAGCATCACCACAGAGAGAACTCAGACAGCAGCTAAGTTAGCTGATCAGCTAACAGCAGAGAGCAAGACAAAGCAGGAGATTTCAGCTGTGTACTCCTCCTGTTTTCTCAGATTAGGTACTGGAGAATCTCCTTACCTTTCTGTGATGCTCCGCAGGGGATTAAACGGAACACACTGAGTGCAAAATATAAAATTAGCATGCTAAACTCATGCTGTGATACTGTTTACATTCGGCTGTGTTTCCGCATCCAGCCTGACCGGCGAGACAGACAGGGGGCGCTACTGCAGCCGTTTGCGCTGCAACGCGCCGTGGTTGTTTAGAGAAGAAGAGAAACTCGAGATTCGTAAACAAATATGTGTCTAACGTTTCTGTCCCATTATTATTATTATTATTATTATCAAATTTAGGTATGTAAAGCAAGAGATTTTATAACTTTAAGTGCTGGAAAGTGTTTTAGGCGTTGCGTGGGTACCTACAGAGCTAAATACTGAGCTTGTCTTTTGAATGGGCTTTTGTCAGATACGCTGTTCAGTTTTCAGGTTAGGTTCAGTTACATGTTTACAGGGCTCTTTAAAAGGTGAATTCCACGTTTTTTTTCCAAAATTTCAGCATAATTAATTGGCTTAGATGTAAACAAAGTTAGTCAGATGGGTTTGATGTGAAATGCTCCGTTCTAGGGAAACGTACCGAGTCAGAACTGTTCACAGTGGTGGTGATAGGAACCAGACGTCTGAAGAGGTCAATGTCTCTAAAAGCTCCTTCACAGAAAGTTATTATGTGAAATGGTTATATTATGTTGTGTGATAACCGAGAGATTGTTTTATGGGACGTCTGACATAAGAATTTGGCCTTACAATTGTTTTTATATGCATTCATGGTGGAGGGGTGCAGGCAGGGCGCTGTATGGCAAAATAGTCTCAAAGGAAAACTCAGCACTATTTTACCATCATCAGCATTTCATTTAAAACTCAGGAGACACGTGTAGGTTCACTGGTGGTTTTGGATAGTGAATAAAATGGCTATATCTGTGTTGTAGATACTGCGACTCCTGGTTCCTATCACCACCACTGTAAAAAAGAATCTGTAATAAGAGTCTGGAAGTTTCTCTACAATGAACCTTTTTATATCAAACCACTCTCAATGACTTTTGACACCTCAATAACTGAATTATGCAGAAAATGTGGAAAATTGGTGGAATTCCCCTTTAAGTTTGTAAAGGAAATTTGCCAATTCCATTGAATTTCTGCCTAATTCAGTCATCGAGATGTGAACAAATTCAGAGTGGTTTGATGTAAAATGGTTCATTGTAGAAATGCAGATTTCTTTACAGTGGTGGTGATAGGAACCAGGGGTCACATTAGAAATGTTGCTGTTTTTTTGCTCTCCAAAATAATCAGTTAACCTCCACACGCATTCTGAGATTTTGGATGAAATGTTAATAATGGTAAAATAGTGATAAATCAGTAATTTGGGGACCAATTTGCCTCACAACATCCCTTTGTATGTATCCCATTACCATATACGGCTTTTTAAAAAATGTTTTAGGCCAAAACATCATCTCCAAATTAGTATAAAGTAATATCTTACAATGGCAAACTTTCTGTGGGGGAGCTTTTAGAAGCAGTAAATTCAGACGTCTTGTTCCTATCACCACCACTGTGAACAATTCTGACTCTGTAGGTTTGCTTAGAATGAAGCATTTCATATCAAATCATATCTTTTCATATTATTAATTGAATTATGCAGATATTTGGAAAAATCCATGGAATTCGACTTCAAGGACAGGCTCTGAGTTTTAGCCTAAAGTTTGACCAACAGTTTGTAATACTAGAAAAATAACACTTCTCCCTTTACAGGTGAGTGATGAATGATGATGTCTATAAAGGCGAAGCAGTGTGGGATTAAGTTTGATCCTCCTTCAATTATCCTCATATATGAAAATGGAGAAAGAAGAAACATCCGTAAAAGAGTAATACCAGTGAGGAACTTCTCTCAGTACTCAGGTTTGATGTTCTTTCTATATTTCGGACACTGAATGTTTGTAATTTTGATTTCATTTACTAATGATGTCGAGACATTTCATAGAGTAATCTATCCTGACTAAGACTGACATTGACTATTCACTGAAATTTCCTCTTGACTCTCCTTCAGACTGCAGCAGGGCTGCAGAGAGACTGAAGCACCACGTCCGCCATAGTCTATACCTGGAATCTGTGCCTCTGGCACAGCTGGAGAGACTACACACGGTTCTCCGTGACCACCTTCGGGGTCTCACCGTAGAGGAGAGTCTGGCTGCACAGCGGGGCCCTGACTCACACGAAGAAGACCTCAACAAGCTCAGCGATGAAGAGCTGAACCGCAGGAAGGCCCAGATGGACGTGCTGTTTGAGCGCAACCGCCGCCATAAGGACGACCCAGACTTTGTGTATGACCTTGAGGTGGAGTTTCCTGAACACAGTGTACGAGAAACTTGCAGCTGGGATGAAGACCAATCAGATAATGGGTTTTAGCAGACCATAGATTTGTTCGTCAGACTTAGAAAAAGGCTCCATCTTGCCATTGTATATAGACTCTACATAAACAACAGACTCATAGTCTTTTGCTCTCCTTTAGTAATGTTTCATGACATCTCCCAACACAAATGACCATCACAATCAGCATCCTTCAGTGAGAAATGACTCCAGACACCTCATCAGCCCACTGAGACATCACTTAAAATTCTGAGATGTGCTATTTTGATGTGATTCCCAAGTTTGACTAACAACAAGTACAAACCTAGAATCCAGGGCCCATATTTATCAAGCATGTCAGAGTAACGACACTGATCTAAGATGAGGGCACATCAATCTACTCCTATCCAGGGCTATGAAAAAGGCATAAAGTGAGCCCAAATGAGCAATTTTACTCTGAGAGTTTTAATAAATATGGGCCCAGAGGAGTGTTTTACAAAGCAGAAGAGAGAATGTCCCATAACTCTTGGACAGGCTTAATTTTTTTACTTCAAGGTGCATTCCAGCCTAAACTAGCATTTAGTATGTTATTTATCACGTTATGTAATATTCTGTAGTACAGCTGTGCATCCCTCAGCCTCATCAGTTGGACAGAATTCACAATTTTTTGTCTTTATGTGCTTTAATTCATTAACATTCTCGCAACACCCAGCATATATTTTGCAAATATGACATACAACCATTGAAAATCCCTGCAGCGCTCAACCAATCCTAGCTGCTAGCCTGGCCTCTGTACAGGCTATTAAGTACAGATCTACAGTTGTATTTTTTTTAGGTTCCTCCCACCTTCAAGAAACATCATCAGAAGGGGTTTTATAGTCTTTAAACCAAAAAATCTTGCTTTAGAGACTATCACTGCACCACTGTACACTCTCAGAAATAAAGGTATGAAACTGTCACTGGGGTGGGACCCTCAAGGGTACATCTCAGTACCTTTAGTCAGGGAACATAATTGTAGCATAATCCAATAAATTATATTCTCTAAACTATACTGACTCCACACTCCCCGTCTCGTCTCCAGGCTTTTTATTTTACTGTTCTGTTTTAAAACATTCGGTTATAAAAAGGTACAAATATGAACTTTTCACCTGGAAAAACTTATTTAAGCTTCACAATCAGACCTTAAAACCACTGTTGTACCTTTGAGGGAACATTTACATTGTTTGTACCTTGATGAACGAAAAATGTACCTGAACAGAACCTTTATTTCTAACAGTGTAGGAGGAAAGTAAGCATGTTTGCAAAAAATGTAGCAATGGTTACATTGAGTTTTAACCAGAATACACCTTGAAGTCAGAAGGGTCAAACTCAGGTCCTTGAGGGTCACAGCCCTGCAGAGATTTGTCTTCACTTCCTCTAACACAGTGTATTTTTCAATAAAGCTGCATAACGTCAGCCAAAATTAAGGATTGTCCACTTATTGATTAGCTTGAGTTTATCTCAGTTTTGTGGCCTGACAGGACTGACACTTCTGGTTTAAGTTATCTGGCTGACTGAGAAAGCCTTTCCACCACTGCACTTGACTCTATAGATGACACCATACATGTAAGAATATTGCTAAATATTTATTTTTAAGAAAATCTGTACTGAACAACTATCCCACATAACAAGGTACATCGCTAAATATATGAAGTCATTTCACAGTAGATGTTTGGTTCTCCATAGTCTATGCCAATATTATGACAAACCAAAAGAAAAGAGCAAAGGAATAATTTCTGATTGTCATTCTTTCACTCTTTCATGCTTATTGAAAGATGTTTTTTCAATGGTAGCTTATGACTGTCAGTAATACGTTTTGTGTAGGGATGGTAGGGTGGGCCATGCAAGGCCAGCTGTAACGTAGTCGGAATACAATATAAATGCAGTTCCACATTTATCACAATAAAATCAGGCATTACAAGGTAATACAACAGCAGTGTAGCATACATCAGTGCTAACACCACCTAATCTCACTTTGGTAGATCCACTGGTATGTTTGTGCCACCTCTTAATATTTATTTATTTATGTATTTATTTTTTATTTTACAGCAACTGGTCACAAATGGCATGAGAGTCCTGTTCTTCTGGATCTCATCAAAAGCACTGGGCCAAACGAGGACCACTGCCAATTTAAAATCATTCACAGAATTCATGAAGCATCTCAGAATAGTAGTACTGATCAAAGATCAGCTGTCCTAGAATCATGATTGGGAAATACCCCTCTGCAATCTCAAATCAGACACATTAATACCTCGATTCAAGACATACGAATGAGCACAGATCAGATATAATCCATTAAGGATGATTTGCATCTACTGTGGCAAAGCAAACCCTGATCACATTCAGATTCCACATCTTTGGTGTTTCTTTTTTTGGTCCTCTGCTTCACTAAAGACCACTTCATTAACAGCACTTCACCACAGGTGGAGGTGGAAACGTGAGATTATTCTTAATGAACATGATTATGTGGAAAGAGCAGCTGATCCTGTGTCACCACTGCCACTCTGAGATACTTTGAAGAATACAGGCCTCAGTTTTGTGGTGCTAAATAGATATATATCTACTAAAAGTGCATCAAAGCTGCTAGAGAAGATGGCAGATACTGCCAAAACATCATTATTACTATTAATATACATTCAGAGATGGACACAAAGGTTTGTAAGTTAGCAAAATGTCACGTTCTTTTTTCGATCAGATGAGCTGCTGTTCATCTGGACGGAGTTACAGAAGTAGTCACTTCATAGTGCAAGTAAAAGAAAACCTTTTTGTTTTCCTTAAAGAAAAAAATCCTACATCCAGCAGGACAGCTGCACTTGGCATCTTTGACGTTTACATTAAACGAAAATGCTCAAAACTAAATGTAAGACCTCAGTCTTACTGTGAATGTTTTGCGCAGCAGTAATAACAAATGTAAAGAAGTACAATAAAAAGTTACAAGACTTACAGAGTAATGGATTTGGTGCTTGGAGTTCATATAGCAAGAAAGCCTACACTACCGTTTTCAGTAGAAGGGGATATACATACATAGATAAGCTTTCACTTCCCATATTTCGCCATAAAATTAAATGCATAAAATAGATACCAGATGACTTGCAGCACAAGATTCAGCTTTTGAATTAACAAAATGGACACATTTCAAGTACATCAAAAAATAAATTGTGACCCTCTTTTCCTTTATCATAGTCATATAGAAAGTAATATATATACTGTACATATCCTATTATACCACATATAGACAAAATACATATATATACTTATATATAAAAGTAATAGAATTAGAAATTTATTTTTTCTTCCGATCCTGGGTGCACCGCGGACAAAACCTAAAAAATGAAAAGCGTATTAGTGTCTTATTAAATCCACAGCATTCAGTTATCATTCACATCAGTACAAACTCCAAATTCCCCTTATTAATGACTTACCATTTCCCTTTGGGTTTTGTTGTAAGGTCCACACAAGCGAAGTGAAACCACTCAATTGGACACTATTCACAATAAAAAAAAGGAACAGAAGTGAACTGATTATATAACGACAAAAAAGTACTGAATAAGTTTAACATAAAGTCCATAAATTCCACCTGTGATCTAACCTACTGCTACACTGTGCTTGTGCTTAAGTGAGACAGTACTTTTGCAACAGAATGCTCAACTGTTGAGAGACATCGTTTCTGCAGTGCCCTCTTACACAGTCAATACATTATCCAGAATTTGTGTTGAGGGAGTGAATCTTCTAGCTGATGATTATTTTTAGTCTATTCAACAAAACGATTATGTTTTTTCAAAGTGATTTTTTTCTTTCTACACATTAAATAATAAAAAAAAAAAATTTAATGGCATTAAGAAAAAAAGGTGATAAGCAATGCTTACATCTGGGTTGTCACAGCCGATCATTTCTCCATATGACACTTGGTGGCACAAACAGTATGTGGGCTCATTGGGGTCTACTGGCATGTCTAAGACATCTGACGGGTGTACAGGTAAGAGGGATTCAGAGAATTCAGGGCTAGGAAAAAAGAAGAGAGAGGCATAAGACATTACTACCATATCAATATCACAACATAAAGGTACATGAGAATGGTGATGCTTTCAATAAAGAATTGAAAAAAGTACATCTGAACACATTAAATGGTTGAAATGTTTGAAGTGGTGTGTTGAATTTGAAACCTGTATTATGGACACGCTCCTGTCTCTTTTAATCATTTCTCATTTACCATCTTTCGTGGAAACTACAGCTACGTTCACATTACCAGGTTGAAGTGGCACAAATCTGATTTTTTGCCCTAATGTGACTCATATCTGATGTTTTCAGGGCCGTGCGGAAATCTGATGTTTTCAAATTTGACCTTAGCCACTTTCATATGTTGTCCTAGATCGGATGCGTATCCGATTCGTGGCCATGCGACCTTAATGTGACGCTCAGATCGGAATTCATGTGCTTTTTTTCCACTGCGCGTGCACCATCATTCAGCGTTACCATGGCAGCAGCGCCGAAGAGAAGTTAAAGCCTGTTAACAGTGGAAAAGCAGCTCCTCTCACCTTTTTCACCTTTGTCTCACTCTAATAATGAAGCTGAGAGCTGATCAGAGTTAATTATCTTCTCAGCAAAGGCTCGTTCAGCTCGTTAGCTTGTTTGCTGATGATGCATGTGATTCAGTCACGTAACGTTACTGAGTAGGATGTGTTCATGAGGGTCATTTCAGGATATTGGTTCGCTCACATTAATGACAGATTTGAGTCACTTACCTAAACTAGTGTGAACCATCGTGTCAGAGAGATCGGATTTGAGCAAAAAATAGGATTTGAGCAACGAGGCTTGTAATGTGAACGTAGTCAATGATTATCTAAGCCAAACAATCTATGCAGAACAGAATTTGAGCTCTGTAGATTCCAGACTTCAACACAAAATACTGAGAATCAAATCTTGACCCATGTGAACATGACAAAAATGCTACGTTATAAAGGCAAAGAAAATGACTAGTCCATTAGGGATTCACTCTGTGGGGAAATCCAGTCAAGCCTCATTTGCTACAGAAGAAGAATATTTTTAATTTTAACCTGTTTTTCATTTTTTTCTTTCGAGGTGAGTCATCATCTGAGCATTTTCTTCCTCTGCCTTTGGGTCCTCGCTTTTCCTTAAGCCCTCTTCCACCTCCTTCTGTAAAATTAAAAACACATGAATTTTTTTTTATATATTTATATTTTCAATGTAATCAGAGCACAGAATCTTCATATATACACTTTTTCAGTGCTAGTGTACTGGCAGAAGAAATCAGGTTTCAGCAATATTACGTCAGACTAAGATAAAATGAGAGACCAACACAGCATTATTCAACGCCAAGACTTCAGTGACCTAGTCATTTGTGGTAGCAAAAAGCCATACCATTGAGGTTTCTCAGAGAAATTCAATTGCGAAGCCTGTCTCAGGTCATGCTTTACCAAACTGCTTTTTGTGTAAACACATTTGCACATATGTCATTTTAAAACTTCATAATAACACTGAGGACTTAAGTGACAGCAGTGAATCCCACTTCACTGCGCATTGGTGGATATTTCATTAATGCAAGTGATGCAACATTTCATACCACAATATGTCCTAGAAAGCACGTTTCTGTAGCTAATTCCTGTCTTACTTTTGAGTGCTCTACTGTCTGGACTCTCATAGCCACCGACGTCAAGTTTCTCCTTTAGCTCATTCTCAAAGCGAGCCAGGTCTGCGTCCAGCCTCCGGATATGCTTGTCAACCTAAAAGACAGAGATAAAATCAATTCAAATCATTTACAGATTAATCTCAGATCTTATAACTGCTGCTCTAAAATACAACATGCACTCACTGACCATTTCATATGTCTGCATGGCAAGCTGCACTTTGTCATCGCTGTATTCTTTACACTTGCTGTAGGCGCTCTGGATCTTCTGCAGGTGCTCCACCCTCTGCTCGGATGCAAGGTTCCGCACATTTGTGATGTACTCTTCTGCAAGCTTATCAATCTCTCCTTTCTTTTCTACCATGTTGGAAGAAAAACATTTGTTCAAAAAAAACACAAGATGCTTAGAATGAAGTACACGAATGCCACATGACCACTGGCTTACCCTCTGTTCTGCTGTCCAGCTCTCGCATCAGGGTGAAGTTTCTCTGGAGTTCACAAGGCAAGTTTTCAATGCCTAAAGGGATGAAAAACATCTTTGTTAAAACTGTTATCACTGAAGAAAGCTTGGTAGTTTTCCTTTAACTTATGCACATCACAAGGTGAAGCCAATACCACATGCCAAATGAACAGAAGTGGGAAGTAAGTAGTTACGTTTACATAGTAAAAATGAGGAATTAATATTTTCGAATAGTTTTACTTCTCTTCTAATATACTTATGAGGACACTAATCAACTTTTTACTCATATCCTTTTGTAGGGATCCACAATCATAAGAGATTTTTCCTCCAAAAGCGACCAGCAATTGGCCAATTTATTGTTTTTATTTTGGCCAAACTTCCAATATAAATAAGGTGAGCCAGGTAACCGCATTCGCAATGTGTCTGAAAGCTGCTGCTACACCTATACCGAAATCTCTGGATATGTTGTGTTCCCATATCCTACATTTTTCTTATGTTTCTTTTTTTTCTCTTCTGTGATCCACTTTGGCATTTATCCAGTTTATGTACCGAAAAATAGTCACAATTCATTTTATCATTACTATTTTCCAACATATCTGTATCCCTTAGCTTTAAACAGGCTACTGTTTTCCTATTTTCACTTCTTTCAGACTGATATATGTAAACGACCTCTGCTCTGATTGGCTGTTCTGTATTCTGCCACATTCAGAAAGCAGCCCGGATTGAAACACTCTTGAACATGAGTGGGCATGGCTAAACTGCTTTAGTCTGAACAGACATATTCAAATGTGTTGGTTTTCATGAGATTACAAAAACAGTGAATTCAAAATGGGCTGTTCTTGCAGCCTAGTTCATAATTAAGGACTGTATGGACTGCAGAGTGAACGGTATATTTTGAATTCATAACAGCGTCTACATAATACATTACACTCCTATTTCAATATAATGAATAAAATTGTTTTTCCATGATATGGTCCTTTAGATCTAATTAGCTCTTGCTTTATTCAATTCATTAATTTTTTTTAACGTCAGCACAATATTATTTATGTTGTATTCATTTATCCAACAGCATTAAATTAGCTAATTTGGCTGTGAAGAAATCAGAAGAAGACATAGAAATTCATAACAGTAGCATCCCTACTTTTTATTTATTAACATTTTGTTCTTAATTACTTTTCTCCTGTTTAATTTCATGACGTTACATTGGTGACAGCATCGGTCCTACTTTGTGACTGGCCCTCTGACTTTTGAGGTTTCTTATTTCATTTAAGACCAAAATAATGCACCAAAAAGAAAAGATTAGAGCCTAACAAACTTCAGTTGTCTATGCTGATAGACAACTGATACCTGCTGTAAGTTCCACTGCATTTCCATGAGGAACTCAATGCTCAAGTAGTTTTTTACCCACTAAAATTGTTTTTGAGAAAATTGTATACTTATTTGAGTCACTACCTCATTGCATAACAGTTATTTTACTTTAGTATGAGGTTAAACTATGTTGCATACATATGTAAATGACGCTCAATTTGTATAACTGGCATTTTTAATTGGCATTAAATCTGCATTTATTAAACTTTTCCCTAAAACGCACAGCCTGCTTGGTTACATTATCTACATGGAACAGTACCACTAATTATCATGCCAAGTAACTTGGGAATAGAGCTGTGGTACTTAAAAACCACTGTATGTTTGAATAAAAAGAGAGCATTATAGAGATAGAGAGAATTAGTCCTGTTTAATTGTATTTAGTGCAGCATACTTTGTAAAATGTTCAATACAAATAACTGGACTCATTGTTTTTGAATCCAAAATTCAGTGTAGGACATTTTCTGTTCTAACTTCTCAGACGTCAGAAAAAAAATAAATATCGTGGCATTTCGTGTATCGTGAAAAACTTTAAGTATCGCGATATTACATTTTGCCATATCGCCCACCTTTCCATAGGAAGCCTCTCCTCTTATCGCAAAACCGCCGTTTTATCCAGCCGAGATAGATAAACAACTCGCACACAAACTGTCTACTCTAAATTTCTGGCCGAATCTTCTATTTTAACGTGAATTTTATCATAAAATGTTTGTTGAATTACGATGCAAGTACATGTCGGAAAACAGCCGTGCTAGCAAAACCGGAATAACTGTGACAACAACAGCAAGAGTAACGTTATTTATTATGAACAGCTAAGCCTAGTAGACACGACACGGCTATTTTTCTTATGATAACGTAAATTTGGTTAATAATTTGTAACACTCAGTTTGGAAAAAGGGTAAAAATCATATGCTTTGCCGAAAGTTTCAAGCAACACTGCGAAACTTTAATTACAGCAACGCTAGGCCGGCTAACGTTAGCGCGACGGCTAACTTAGCACACGGCTATCAGACTGGCAATTCTAATTCCCCAATTTAAAGTTTAAATCTATTTCAGCTTAATCTGAGAAAATAATCCACAGATGAGGAAGTTTGTTAGTCTTTTACGAAACCTGTCATATATTCAGAGACACCAGCATTTGTCAGTCCGACGTTAGCTGGTTGGCTAGCGGAGATTAGCCTAGCTACCCAACTCGCTTGCGCCACTCCAAGCAGCTCATCGGGCCGCCAAAAACAGCTCGACACCAGACTTGTTTATACGATTTCACAGTTTCCTGAAAACTTGTTATTACTCACTGTCAAGGTAGTGTTCGAGGTAAATAGCCGTCGCCATTATTTCCGACCTTCAGCTCAAAACGTAGCTTTAATAGTTTTTCGTCTCAGTGCCTGAACTAGAACAACATTGGCATTTCATTAATTATTCATAACCCGCCTTATTTCCATTGGCCGAGACGCCACTGTTTTGCATACTTTCATCTGATTGGGCGGTATTGGGGTTTGGCTTATTTCTTAAACATTATATGAACATACATATATATCCTACATAACACCATCACGTGATAATTCACGCACATGGGAAAATATAGAAATTATTTTCATATATAAAATATATGTGTAAAGTGAGATATTCCACTTTAATGCGTATGAACTACAAAATATACTTATAATCAATTTGCCTGTGATTTCCCCCATGATTACATTTGTGTCAAAAGCAGAAAATATGATTATTTTATAAAGTGCGAGTCATTTCTGTAGCATAACAATTATAAATAAAGCTGGTGAAAGTGTTTAGGAATGTGCATTCAACATTTTATCAAAGGACCGAGAAGTGAAGAGGTTGTAGTGTCGGAGAGTTGTGTTTTAAATAAGAAGAAAACGTTTTTTTTTAATGCAGGTTTTTTAAAACTTGGAAAATTAACATAGACGTCGAAAGGCCTGTATAAAACAGTGAAACGGGCTTACAGGAAGGAGACTGTGCACAACATAATCTCTATCAACAAATGTGTTTTGATTAATCACAAGAATGTAAAGATTTTGTGCAGTAATATGGTACACCTCCTTCAACCACACATGTTTGTAATGTTCAAAATATACACACATACATGCATATACACACACGCACACGCACACACACACACCATATATATATATATATATATATATATGTGTGTGTGTGTGTGTGTGTGTGTGTGTGTGTGTGTGCATGTGTGTGTACTACACAACCATATATATATATATATATATATATATATATATATATATATATATATAGTTGTGTAGTGAAGTGAATCAGCTGGAGAAGGTGTGGCAGACTGTGGCTGGAATTGGACTCTGCAGGGAGATAGATCTCCTGGAGTTGGTGACCACGGCTGTGAAGCCTCCTCTATTCTTTTCTGTTCAGTCACATGTCTGTCCATCAATTAATCCGTCCATCCATCCATCCATTTATTTATATATGAGTGCATGTATGTATGTATGTATGTATGTATTGGTGGCTTTATAGAAGAAATTATTAAAAATGAACTTTTTAATTCAAACAAAAAAAAGCAAAATTATCTTCTATGTTTTTTTCCACTTAACATATAAAACAGTACTAATAATTTATTACTAATATTCCCCTTTAAATGTTCTTTTTTAATGACCATGTGACAGCGCTCGTGTTTGACCCCGGAAATAATCTCCTGCATGAACTGTTTGGGACCATGCAAAGAGAATGAAAGTGAGAAACAGCCCAGATTAATAGTTCGCAGTAGCTCAGATTAATGTGTCCAGTCTGTAACAGGGCGAATAGAAGCGGTTTACGGACGGAGATGTGCTTTAAGTAAATGGACGCTAGTTTGGAAAGTTCGAGCGACCTCCAGTCTCAGGTGGGCTGAGCTTGTACAGCTGAGGGTCTCGCTGTGTTTGCAGGTTTAATACGTTTCAGCGACTGAAAAGGGCTTAAAGAAGCTGTTGCTGTTTGTGTTTCGCTGATATTCTCCTCAGGTTGAAGAGATCGAAGCGCTTTCCGCCATATATGGTGACGAATGGTGTGTGATTGACGAGGCATCGAGAATATTCTGCATCCAAATATCAGATGGCATTTATGAGCCCAAATGGTCTGTTTGTCTGCAGGTACAGATTTCATTCTGAGTCTATCATCATCATCATCATCATCATCATCTTCATTATAGTTGTTGTCATTTATTCTTATTCTCTTTTTATAAGATCATACTCCCAGAAGACTACCCAAGCTCTGCACCTCCAATATACCAAATAAAGTAAGTGCAGATTCAGTGTGACCACAAGAAGGGACAGTTGTATATACTGGTAGGGCTGGGCAGTGTATACTTAATAATATATATCCTTATTGTGATACATTATGTCACAATACAATATGCTGTTTTGAACATATCATGTATATCAGTTTGTAGTAGTTTGTAGGACAATGGCCGAGTGCATGTTTCATTATAAAACATATAATATTGTGTAATACACATAAATATTGTGACATATTGTGCATCGTGAAAATTTCTTGAAGTATCACAATATTATATTTTTGCAATAGTGCTCACCTCTATAATCTGGTCCACAAAGGATACTGTCTGTTTAGTTCACGTCAGTTAAAACAGTAGGCACACTTATTTGGTGCAGCTGTAGCTCTGTTAGCTCTCTGCTGTTGCTTTTGGTACAGGCACTGGTTGGTTTTCCATCTTTGTCAGTCTTGTTTTATAAGTAGGGATACATGATATGGGAATTCTGGGCTGATATCCAGTATTTTTCATGTACATGCAGTACATGCCATTAAGTACAGGTTATTCGTTTTTCAGCATCGGGGTTGGGGGGAGGGGGGGGTGAAGCATACAGTACTGTGCGAACTTTTTAAAATACATTTTTCTTGGCTGTAACTGTGTTTCTGCTTGTGAAACATCATACGACATTAGAGTAAATGTAAAAAAAAAACCATTAATTTAAACATATTCTTTTTTTTAAATTAAAAAAAGTAGTTCAAAGTCTCCACCAGCACACCTTATTTAATTTAATGAAAGATTGATGAGCTAAACCAGGAATTGCATGATAACTACAAATAATACTCTGCTTCCTTGAGGAGAGGCTTAGAAATGGTTAAGCAAACATCACATAATAGCTTATAATATTGATCTTATTTGTATTTGTTATAATATTAGTATTTTTCTGGTCAAATAATGCTTGCTGACAATTTTTGCAGCTACTTTAAACCTTTACACCGTATTGTATTTAAATAAATACACAGAAACCTCAACAACTTAATATAATCTCAACATTTTCAGTGTTGCCTTTATTACAGTATCCATTATTTTCCAGAGACTTGCTTTCAGTTTATCAAAGAAATCTGCAGGATATTTTTCCGCATCTTCAAGGTTCAGTATTAGAAGTTGTTTTTACTCTCTGCTTCTCATAATCCAAGTTATGTCGGATATACAAAGTTTAACTTGTTGGTTTTAAGACTGTAAGGAGGGGTTTTCTTGACAGTAGGGTGCACAAAAGTAAAGAGTGGACAAATTAAATATTGATAGATTTGATGTTGTATTTAGTTGGTGAGGCTTCTGTGTAATCTTTTTTTAGTTATGTTTTCTGCTTTCTTTCCTAGTGCTAAAAAATGAGTAACTTGTTCTTGATGTCCATTTTGACTGGAAATTAAATAAACGAAACTGTGGTCTCTGATTTTTGTGCTCTACTCTGTCTGCCGATGCTGACATGTAAACATTTCTAAAATATTACGAGTTTTTGCTTTGATTTGATCTTTCTGACTTGATGGTTCACCTTGTGATTGCATCTCAGTCTTCAAACTGTTGATTAGTTATATGAGGAGTGCTTCTGCTTGGTTGGACTAAACCTGCAGCCACACTGGTCATTCACGGAAAAGATCGGTGACCCCTACTTTAATGCTTCTGCAGCGTTTATGATAAGGATGCTATTACCTGCAGTGGAAAAAAAATGACGGATTCTCAATGAGGTTGAATGGCCTTGAATCAAATATGCATTCAATCCAGGACCACATTTGAAAGTGTCTCAGATCTAATTTGAAAGATTTGGCAGATCTATATATTAAAAAAATATTGGATATCTGCCTTGGCCCAAAATGTTTGCCTAAATTGCCCAAAATGGTCTGCTCTTCCAGATTACAATAAATACGTCATCAATTATCAATCTGAAGTATTAGTCAGATCTAAGTGATGTTGATATATATATTTTTAAAGCAATTATCTGCTAATAAGCATATGATTCTGACATCATTGTGCATTCCTAGGCATAATCTTGGGCGTGGCAATCAGTAGTAGCTTTGTGAAAGAACACGTGCAGCAACAAATCAATAAATCATGTTTTGTTTCTGTTCCAGTGCAGGATGGCTAAGAGGACCCGACAGAATCAAGCTCTCAAACAGCCTAGAGGAGCTGTATCTGTAAGCATATTGTTGTGTATAAGCAACTCTCACAGCTTTTTTCCACTCTAAACCGGCATCCAGGATCCAGTTTCTAATTAAGCTCTAGAACGCATGAGGAAGCTCGTTATCACAACACACACAGCTGTGATTTGGCACAAGCTGAGGGCTAATGTTATATATCACTGCTGTCAGAACAAAAACGTGTCTCCAAAATGGTTACTTTACAGGAGAAGAAAAGAACCTACTTTACTTTTAATGTAAGTCAATGGAACCAGACTTTCTCCAAGTCATTCTGGGCCATTTCTTTTGGTCCAGTCATAATGAAGCTGACACAGAATGCAAAGGGCAAGAGGCATTTTCAAAATGTAAAAAACTGAAAAACAACAAAAATGGACATTTGAGGTTTTGTTCAGACAGCAGCAATATACTTTTATATATGCATACACAGTGATATCACTATTAATTGATTAATGTTATAACAACATTGATTCTCTGGTGATTGTGTTTATTCTGTCATTGCAGGGAAAATGTTGGAGAGAGCATCCTTTACCTCTGGGTGGAGAAAATCCGAGAATTCCTGATAGAAAGGTCTCAGTGTGGAAACACAGGTACACAGCACAAGTCAGAATGTGACAGTGGATTCATCTCAGTGTTCCAAATAATTATTATTAAGTTTATTTGCAAACCAGAACTGCTCCCTGCTACAGGTTCCAATCAGTCTTTTTGAGCAAAGCCATGAAAGAGATGAACGTTTCCTTTCAGATTCATTCAGGTGTGGAGCACCACTACGGCACAAAAGCTTCCACTGTGGCAAGCCAGTAGTGGCGAAAACAATGCTGTGAATCATAATTATATGACTTTCTTCCATCGCTCACTTTAAAGACATGCAGATTTATATTTTAATGCAGTCAGTCACCCTGAAATGAAGTTATCTGTTTGGGTCGCAGAGTAAAGTGCGTTATGTGAGTCACCGGATGCGCTTGTCATGGCTTCTAGTAGCAGCTCATTTATCACAGTGTTGCAGGCCTGATG